TATATATATATATATATTTAAATGCAAATGGTCCCGAGCATTTCTTACACGACGTATACGTTTGCAGCAAGGAGGCCCCACAACCGTTCATCTGCAACGCGTGAACATCCTGATTGCCGATCAAGAGTATTGCAAATACATATACGGCAAACAGAGTTACAACGTCTACGATACACAAGTTTGCGCGTACGATCCGAAGGTTGAAAAGGGATCGTGCAACGTAAGCCACACACACTCTCTGTATTTTTTACGATTAAATCTCGATAGTACTCTTACGTAGTACAGTATTTATCGTACTTCTCTCTATTTCGCAAAAATATCACAGATATCGTGCAACATCACTCGTTTAACATCTTTTATACATTATAATTGGCTTTGTACATACGTAATTCTTCTGTTCCACGAAATTGCCTGTACTGGGATTGTTCTTGCAAAACGTGATTCTTTCTTTTATATCGCCAGGGTGACTCCGGTGGCCCCTTGACCGTCAAAGGGAAACTCGTTGGTCTCGTTTCTTGGGCAATGGGCTGCGCCCTCACCGACTACCCAACTGTCTATACCCGCGTGTCGTCTCACCTTAATTGGATAAAGGAACACGCTGTGTAAATCCGGCAAGTGAAACGTGAACTGAACTAGAAGTCGAAGTAAAACACACGGACACGGAACATTGAGAGTCGTGTGTGAATTCACACGTTCTCACGAATCTGCGCGCGGATAGGCAATATTCTTCAATCTGCGTTCAACACTGCACTCTGTGCGGTGTGTTTGTCCACCAAATAAATAAATAAATCGTACGTTTGATATCTTGACTCACTGTTCCCACATTCTTTCAATCAAAACAAATGATATCTTTACAATAAATTTTTGTCGCTCGCACAATATTCTTGATGTGAATAAAATTACTAAGGAATTTCTTAAAACTTTAAGTTTAAAGTTCGACCTCTGTCCTAGATCCTTCTGTAAATAGTAAAATGGAATAACTTTCTCCACGATTAACTCCTAAATGCCAATTGAACTATAACAATGAAGACAATTATTTAAAATTAAATCATTGAACTTTGGAATTAAATTTTTCAATTTAATTTAATATTAGAATTAACACTATTATTAATTATTTGTTATACTATTTAAGAATGAAGAATTAAAAACTCAGAACGTTTTATTTCAATGTGGAACAAGAGAAGATTATATTCTGCTTTCAAAACGTGCTAAACATGCTTCAGATTCGAGGCTTTAGTTCGTATGATAGAAGAAATCTTACCGAACTTTGTTATATATGGCAATTATTGAAAAAAAAATACTCGAGCAGCTAGATCTCTTGCGAAACGTCGAACAGATAAGAATGAAACAGATAACAATTAAATAATAATTATCGAACATGTTATCCAGACAATTACGAAGAATACTGATATTTCAAAAGTAATATATTTAATTGCGAAAGCTAGATTAATCGTGTGATAACGGAAAAGAGATATACACGCGCCTGTAATTACTTACAGTTGTCGCACGAGACTAGATTATCATAATTTCATGAAATTCATTCTGACTCAGAATGGTTATTTCTAAATTATTTCTAATTATTACAATAAGAATAAAAGCTCTATTACATTTTTTTTTTTTTTTTGATATCGAATATTAAACGTCGATCATCTCGACCAATCTCGATAGTCGATTTCGAAAGAACTATATTTGCGAATGTGTCATAAGAACAATAACTGATTATTTCGTGATTACTCTTGCAACTGAGAAGTAATCGTGGTAATCATAATCATTAATCAATTAATCTTAACATAAATCAATAATCACATTGATACTTTTTTTTTAATTGTTAATTTAACAATTGAAATTGTGATTATGTGACTATTTAACGTGATTATTTAACGAACG